AGGTCCGCGCTCACAGCGTTGTTGCAGTGCTACACGCCTGTTCGATTCGCTCAGATCCAAAGGCTCACCCTTCACACGAACTCGTTCAACACGCAGCAGATTCGGGACGTCCTTTCACAGACGCCGGAGCTAGTGTATTTTGGGTATTCACCCGGGTATCTTAAACGTATGTCCTTTTTTTCTTTCTCCACAGACTAGGTCTGACCACCAACGATAGCTGCTGTGAATAATTATCTTCCCTTCCAAACGTCTCCTAATCGAGGCATACCGCACGTCGCTTTGACGAGTACTGTCATGGGCGACCCACCTCTACAAGCCAATGAGATTATGCGTTGGTGGATCACGGAGCTTTCACATCCTTCGCGTGCCTTCATCGGCGTCAACACGCTCGAGCTTGATATTGAAGGGATCTCATTTGATTCGACGGACGCGCTCTGGGCGGACTTGGATCAAGCTCTGTCGAACAACGTCTTGGCTGCTTCCGAAGGGGCCGGCGGGACGTTGCAGACGATAAGTATCACGGTCCCGAGGGTAGCTGCGAATGCGGTGAGGAGATTGTTTCCGCGCACGAACGAACGGGGAGTGCTTTGTGTTGAGAATGTCGAATCTGTGATACTCACCATGCTGCAGTGGTAAGCATTGCTTCTTTGCATACCCTGATGAGGCTGATCATGATTATTCTAGTACGGTAACAATGTAGTTGGTTTATAGCTACACCCGGAATACAATTTGTCGCTCTAAGGAAACTAGGACAAATTAACTCCAACGCGTCTTCCAATCATCTGCTCGTCTTGTTTCTATGTGCTATTGACCTGGTATTCATAGCCTGTGTGTCTGCCGCCATTTTGGTGCGGCCCTGGGTGTCATGCAGTTGACTCGTGCAATCGGTGTATGGCGGAGGCGGAGGATTCAAAGACGAAGGCAAAGGCTTCCCTTAAATTTGGAGACAATATGCCTCAGTGTGCTTTGCTTCTCCAGTCCATCGCCTGGTGACCTTTAGCCTCGTTTTGCATTGGAGTCTGGTCGCAAGACTCACCCTGTTCCAGAACAGGCAGACATAGAAGCTGCAATTCGGTGCCACCATCTGGGTAGGCGCGCCCCGAACTCGATGACCCGCTGGCGTGAAGCCGTCGTGAGCCTTGTGTTGTGAGTTGGTAGTTGAGTTGGGCATTGGGGTTTGAGTGGTTGCGGATAACGCGCGGTGTCGCTTTTAAACAGCCTTAAGCGTCGGAAAAGACCCTCGAAACTTCCAAGAGCTATGCGGGTACAATAGATTAATAGAAGGACAATTAGGCTGCGAGATCACAAATGCTTCAGATCACAATGACTCGGATATCGATCGATCACGACGATGAACGGCCTCGTGTAGTGGAAAGCTACCAAGGCAATACAAGGCAACCTGCAAAGAACCGGACGTGCGCCACACTTCTGAATTCTATGGGCTCTTAGCACAGTTGGTAGCGCGCACGCTTTGCATTGATATTCCCTGCGTGAGGTCGTGGGTTCAAATCCCACAGTGTCCACTCAAGGATGTGTTCCCCAATTTTGGACCTTGATGCAAGGTCTTCTTTTGTATTTCAAGGTTTTTTTGCCTTGAGCTTGTCCTTGACGCGGTCGCATCATAGCCAAAGCCCGCGATTGGCTTTGCTCATCGCTCGACACTTGAGCGAGACGCGACGCCATCACGTGCGTGGGAAGCAACCGGGGCTATCCAAATTGGGCAAGTCAACAAACTTGGACCACTACGACCAGTTGCGCCTGTAATCACTGTCGCTCCTTTACCCGAACTGCACCGTGGACAAACACAAAAAGCCTACAGAAATCATTACAAACATTACCTTCGACTTACCATCCAACAATGGACGGTCCCTCTGCGACCGATTCGATTCTGCAAAACTCGGCTGCGTTGCATTCCTTGAAGAAAGAGCAGCTCGTCAGATTGTGCAAAGCGCACGGAGTGAAGGCCAATGGGAAGAAGAGCGAGATGGCGGAGAGGCTTGCGCAGTTGCATGCTGCCAACGAGGGCAGCAGTGCAGACGGCGCCAAGGAGAACATGAACCCGACAGCTGAGGAGGTTGGGAGAGAGATTATCACCTCGGCAGCATCAAGGAGGAAAGCGCCAGCGATTTGGCTCATTCAAATGCAAGTCATTCATTCGTTGTTCGGTTTCCTTTGTTGATTCAGTCCAGCCTCCATGTCCCTCAAGTCTCTCGTATCTTCCTTTGGCTTTTCGCGATCCACGTCTACTTCATTGTCTTCCTTTGCCCAAACACCAATCGCAAGCTACAGTTAGTAGCGTCGCTTCCGGCCTCTTCCAGGTGTTACCGCACCAAATCCCTCTCCCGGCTTCGCCTCTCATCGAGCCTTTTACGCCACCCCCGAATGTCGATGTTGGCAACACAATCCGACTTGTGAATATTCCTCGCTTTAGCTCGTCCTCTTTTGAGGCGTCTGAGCCTCCTTTTATCTCCACTCCTCCCCCCACCAGCGTGAACTGGAGAGTTGGCGATACACCTATGCTTGCTCCCTTTCAGACTTCCTTCGATCTAGTCGTTGACGGCGGCGTCGATACGCCTGCACGCGACGTTGCTCGCATGTTGAGAAACGATCCCGGAACGCCTACGAGATCGAATGGTGCAGAGGGACGCTTCGAATTTGGTACCCCCAGAGCCAGCGGGTGGGCGTTTAGGCCTTCGTTAAGTTTGCCACCTCCAGTTCCGCCTCTCCCAGAAAGGTTTAGAGATGGGCAATTCGGACCAGGAGATGAATATGCTACAGAGGACGACCTCGAACACGATTCCGAGGAGCAAACCAACGCAGAAGGGCAGAAGCGTAAAGTCGTGCCTCGACCATCTGTCACTTTGCGTGTGATGGAGGAGCTGATGCAACGGGCGGAGATTCCTGTTGACCCCAGTCGACCCGTCAAGCCAATTCCGAGGCGTTCTCTGGTTGCCAACGCCAGTCCTTCTTCCTCCACCCCAACTCAACAGGTGTCGGATCGGTTCGAAAAGGTCCATGAACAGCTGGAGGCTCGCATGCCCGCGATCAACGAGCCCACACGAACAGTCCTAGTAAAGAAACGCAAGGTGGGGCAAGACACAACCGATGGGGACGGGACACGGAAGAGTGCGAGGGTTGGAGGGAGGGCCAGTGGCGCAAGACCTCGGTCGAGTGGAGTTCGCCCGAGACAAAGCGGCGTTCGACCAAGAACGAGTGGTGTGCGCCGTCAAAGTGGTGTTCGACCGCGAGTGAGCGGTGTACGCCCAAAGCCGACTCCAGCGAAGAAGGGCTTGATTGGATACGTCAAGGGGTGGTTTGGCGTGAAGCCCAAATCAGAGCCAGCGACGACGAAAGCTGAAGCGAAAGAGAAGGTTGTGGAGAAGAAACCTGAGCCTATTGCAGCCCGGAAACCATCGACGGGCAAAGCTCCCATTGCCGCTAGGAAGGTTACGCCGGGGAGTATGGGCCCTCCAAAGTTCATACCCAAGAAGAGCGGTACGGCGGCCAGTGGGAGTACGGCCGCCCGTGGCAGTATCACTACTGCTAACACGAGAGGCAGTATCGGCTCGACTACCAAGGGCAGTTTGTCGTCAACCAGAGGCAGTCTGCCTGCTGCGACCAGAGGGAGCATCAACGCTAGTACTAGAGGAAGCATCACCTCCACTACTCGAGGCAGCATTACCTCTACTACCCGAGGCAGCATTAATTCTAGCACTCGGGGAAGTGTAACGCCTACTTCGAGAGGAGGCAGCATTCGTGGGAGTATTACTTCGACGACGCGGGGAAGTGTCAATTCTACAACGCGCCTTGCGCCGCCCCCGTCCTCAACACCGCAGTCAATTCGGACACGCGTCGCCGCCAAGCCGAGTATGGTGCCCAGGAAAGTGACACCCACAAATCCGTCCTCGAGGCTTTTACAACCGACCAAATCCAGTTTGGCCAGGGCTTCGGGTCCTACTGCTACCCCAAAGGCAGAATCTGTGGCAGCAAATGCGAGTACACCACTGCCGCTGGCCCCTAGGATCTTTAGGGAGCCGTTGTCAGAGGCGACGTTGAGTCCCAGCAAGATACCCACTGCTAGTGGTAGCAGAGGTATGTGATTCAATTGTTCACGACGTGTGATATTGATTTTCGTTGAAGGTATGTCGGTGGGTAATAGCAGCATTGCTTCACGAAGCGCGAGCACGCGCCGACCGCGTATCTCGCGTACTACGGTTGTGGCGAGGTTGGCTGCGCGGCGCCAGGTCCCTGCGACGCCGCAGGCCTCGTCGTCTGGGTCAGGTTCTTCGGCTACTGCTGTGCCCAAGCCACCAGCTTCGGTTCAGCCGGCGCCGACGTATAGGAAGAGCGCTGCCGGGGCCAGTGGGCGGCGTAGCTTGGCGGTGGATAGGGATAGGAAAGTGAGATCCAGCGTAGGCGGGGGTGGTGTAGGGAAGAATGCGATCTTGGGGAGGCGAAGCGTTGGTGCTGGACTCGCTGCGAAGAGGCGATAGGTTGGGGGGGGGGGGGGGTCTGGGTGTATTTATATCTCTTGGGATCTTTCTGCTTTTTTATGAAGTCCACTTATGTGTCGTGCTATGTTATGTTATGTTATCTCCTGCACCTGTATATAGCGTTGACGCGTCGATAAATTGTTCGCGCGGTCTACGTACTATCCCTTGTGATCTCCTGAGATTGGGACTGACTTCAGACTGGGGTGAAGCGTCTGTTGATATGTAACTCACTCCAACGATGAGTAATGCTGCCGTTGGATCGGATCTATAAAAGAAATGTGACCTTGAAAGTGTTGTAAGCCAAAGTACCATTCTTTGAGAAACCGCGTCACATTACATCGCGCGTTGTTATTCAGGTAGTATGTCCGGTACAAAATGTGTGGTCCGTCTCTTGTCACTTTTGAATCCTGATTGATTCACTATTCAGAGACTCGTCGCTCGACTCTCGAGAGCGTTAGAAGTTAGATCAAGAACAATCTGAAAAAAGCAGGGCTTACTCTGTGTAATCGACACCTCAGAGATTCGAACTCTGGCGCACAAGTGCATTGGCTTACGTAAGCAAGGCTCTGATCGGTGCTTGTAGCAGGCCAACCCGTTAACCACTCCGGCAAAGTGCCTTAGAGTGCTTTTCACCGCTGTTTATTATCAATCAAAGAAACAGTCACTCAGCGGGAACAAAACCCATAAGTTTTGATTCAACTTTTGAAAAGCAGTTGCGGCATGTTAACCTTTCTATCTTTGCTACATTCAACTGAAAGCTTCCACACGAGCTCGAGGTCAATTTCATACTAAGTTTTTGGGTACATTCACCGGTTTTAAAAAAAAAGATTTGTGGCCCATCTAGCACGAGATCAATCCTGGCTTCATCGCCCATTGAGTGGAACCTCTTCGCCTTACATCGTCATCTACGACTATGGTCGATTCTCCCTAGGGTTGTTTCTTGCCGCGGCCGGTTACAATGGCGTAACCGCGACGATATGGTTCAACATGGGTCAAGATGCACCAGCGGTATCCAACGATGTTTATGGTTACTTGCTTCGCGATCCTACTCGACGGCCAAACTACAGAGAGGCAACCTATGCGACGTTGCGTCGTGATGTAGCGTATTTGACACAACGTATTCATCCTGGGCACCTTTCGTCCATTTGGACTGTGATATTAGGATGTATGTCTAAAATAAAGTATCGAAGTATGAATACAACGACAACGCTAGGGCAAGTACTCTGACATGTACCTTTACTGTGAGTTCTGCGAAGCATCGCGAGACGTCTTCTGGTGTGTATAATGTTTCTTCCCGCATTTCTTTACTGAAGATAATGCAAACTGACTCGAGCGCCGCGAAGCGCGGCTGGTGCAGGGCAGACGCTAGTTTTTGCCAATCATCTATAGACTGCCCACGAGGCGTCGTATGTATTACAATAACCACACGTTGAAGCTTGCTGGGATAATCGGGCCTTTGCATCAACGCACTCGATATGGCAGCCAGCATATTGGGGGTGTCATACAGCTCGAGACATAAAGAAGGTGCATGCAAAAACGTGCGAACATCGAAGTCTGAGATAAATATGATATCGGTAAGTGATGTCAGATGGGGGGAAAACGGGTAGCCACGTACCGAGGTCATCATCCCAAAGGTGAAAGAAGGCTACCTCCAAAGCCCTTAACCGAGGAATAAAGTCCCCCAACGGACCCCACACATGCTCGGTCAGGTCCCAAGACGGAAAAACAATACGTCGAACGGAAGCGCACAAGGCAAGACAGGCCTCGTCGCTCGCCATCTCGCGCAAAAAAGTGTCCGCCTCCGAGACCATTAGTTCTTTAATCTTTGAAGGTACGACCGGTCGTACGATATTCCTATCTTCCGGAAGTTCATGTCCAGTTGAGACATTTTCTATGTCGAGAGAGATTACGGATGGGCAATACGACAGCAGATCCACAAGATGGATGGGGAGCAGGTCCATTTGCGAGAGTCTGAGCTTGTGGAATGGGCACGAGGGGATGATTTGGCCAATTGCCTTGACCAATTCGGTATCAAGACACATGTGGAGGAAGCCTAGTGGATCTATCCGGGAATCGTTACAGTCCAATGCAACCGAATCCAAACGCGTCAGATACGGGGAGAATTCCCGAAGCGCGTGCCATGCCGTGGTCGACGTGATGTGGTAGATATCATCAAGCTCATAATACAGGCCATAGGAGACGTTTTTCACCAAGCCAGCAAGACTTGGTGTGTGACGGACAAGTTCCATGAATCGGAGGGATGACACATCCAGAGTCTTGTCAAAGACGTGGGGTGGCGTTATTTCGAGGTCGATGCACACCGAACAATACATGTGTTTGCGGCAGCGAGCGCCAAAACATCGACCTGCCCGGAGAAGAGCGAGAACGTCAGCCCAGTGTCGTTTTTTTCGGAAACGGACTTCTGCATGAACGTTGTCGACGACATGGTCAAGGAGTTCTTGGGGAAGAGCTGGAGACATAAGGTGACTCTAAGATGACTCTTAAGGGAATGAATTCAGTCAACTGGTCCTGAGCGTTTCCATTCAGCGCACCTCGTTGTACTTCCGCGTAGGAAGTCCGAAGGGCATGGAAATGCCGTCGTAAAGGCTCTATCAGAATGATACAGTCTTAGCTACAGTCTATCCAGCACAAACGGTACGCACTTCGCAGACGACGAGTGTCAAGACGAGATAAGGTTGAAGCAGGGTTGAAGAGGCTTCTACCGGCCCGATGACTGACAACAATGCTCCAGATATTCAGGTTCTTGCCTCCCTTTCTTTGTCGCTATGTATATCACTGTCAAGCTTTATCCTAGTAGTAGCTCTGAATCTGCCACGCCACGTCGGTCGTGGTTGTGGGTCCATCGTTAAAAGCCCCTTGTAACACGGAATCAATGACTCTCGTACTTCAACTAACACATTGTATGATAGACATTATCATTTTTCTAACAGTGACCTTCGCCTGGCATCCTTGAAGCACAAAGACACTTCTTCCAATGCCAGGTTTCCCTCTCGTTCAAGTTCGTCGTCCCATTCATTAAAAGTAATGCAAACCGTCTTGAGGTGCGGCTGGACCAGGGAAGAAGCCAAGCCCCGCCAGACGTCAGCATCCCAAAGTGCGCCCCGACTCGACTGTCGGTCGACGACGATGGCTAACCGCTGGAACTTGATGTCCGACTGGGAAAGACCTAGACTGGTACAGGCCCTGGCCAAGGCGTGTGAGCAGGACACGAGATTCTCGACGTCGTTAATCCCAAGGCATAGCGAGGGCGCGTGCACAAGTGCGCGAGGATCGGATCTCCTACATAAGCAGTAACTTATCAGAGAGAGTTCCGCAAATGCCTAACAACCACATACCACCGGTAAGAGAAAGATCGAGAAAGACTTCTTCCAAAGACGTCAATCTCGGAATGAACGGTCCCAGTATGGTCCATAGCGTCCAGACATGGGAGATTAAGGCGGCGGACAGTTGATGGAGCAATCATCGTGCAGAACGCATCATTCTCCCAGCATTTCTTTAAGATACTAATAGAGTTGGATTCCGACAAAATCAGCTCCTTGATCTTGGGATGCGTATCTTTAATCATGGCATGCTGGGGTTCTGGTCCCTCTCGAACGTGCACAGTCGTTTCATTGATGTCGAGCGAGGTGATCTGAGGAACGTGCGCGAGGAACGCCATGAGGGGTGCAGGCTGCACCGACGCATTCTCTATAGTCAACTTGTCGAATGGGCAGGACGGTAAGACCATGGGGAGGGCTGCGGCGAGTTTTTCGTCGATCTTCATCGTCATCGTCATCGGATCCTCCATCTCTGGATAGAGATTAAAGTACAAGGTGACCGACTCCACATTAGGCAAATACCCGCTGATCTCTGCGTGCAAGCGCCAGGCTGGAGTCTCCGTAATAACGAACATGGTGGAGCTCTGGTCGAACCTTGGAGATATAGAAACCTCTTTGACCATGTGCCCAACTTCTGGCATGGTGCAAAGCAGTTCCAAGAAGCGCAAAGAGCTCTTGTCCAGCGGCTTTTCCTCAGTGTTGAGGAGGCAGCTCTCGAGACCTAGGGATGTCTGGCGATAGATGTGCTGACGACAGCGGCGGAAGTGAGTCGATGCTTGGAGGAGCGCCATGAGAGGAGGTACGGTTTCATGATGGTTATAGCTGATTTCAGCGACATCGTCGATGATGAAAATAAGAATCTCTTGAGGAAGCATTGGATGCATGGTCGTCTGAGAAATGAAGGAACGAGCTTAGACATTTAATGACGAGTAGCAAAAAGTCTGCCCAGTGACTTTTGTTTCACCTAAACAGTGATTCTCAAAACGACAGGAATGGACTCTAAAAGGTCCGTCAGGTGAAGTTGCGACGGTTAAGACAAAAAGGATTCACGTACGTGCCCACTGCCCTCTGGTGGAAAAAAAAGAGATGCCAGCAGTCAGCAACCATCTGGCTTGCGATCTTGTCTTGAACCATCGTTAAGTTGGTTCGGCACACTTCCATGGCCTTTGCCAATCGTATCCCGATATTCGCGCGGCGGCTCGCCGTTGTAGTAGACATGAACAAGTTCTGGGATGGTGGTCGTCATTGAGAAAGCTTATTCGGATTCCGCCCCAAGTATGCGGACAGTAAGACATTCGTTCGGATCTCACTTCCGCTCTCTATTGTCCTTGAGTGGGTAGTTGGTCATAGCGACTGGCAAGTAGTGCACTGAATCAACAGCGCAAGTCTTGTATAAATCAATTCGAATACATGCAAAGACTCACGACGAAAGCTGTAGATAAAAAGACGAAAACATGGACAACAAACAATCATCTCAAGCCCTCACTCCCCCTTCGCTCCTTTCCTTGGTACCTCCTTATACCACTCCGGAACCTCATGCGCCTTGATCACCAACGCCTTCCTCATCTCCTTCAACTCCCGTTCCTCCTCAACCTCTCGCCTCTTGCGCTCCTCCTCCATCTCCATCTCTTTCTCCCTTTCCTTCTCCCTAAGCTGCTCATCAAACGCATGCCGCGATACAAGCCGCTTTTTGGTGGTAAACTGCGGCGAGTGCGGCACTGTAGGTGTCAGCCCCATCCGCGCTTTGATAACAGAAAGTGGGACAGAGGGGGCATGGCGCGAAGTAGATGTCGACGCGCTGTTGGAGTGGCCAGCGTGCGAGACCTGCAAACGCGATTGAGAACGCACATGCGTCTTCGTGGTTGTGGTTGTTTCTACAGTCATATCCAGTCTGTCTTCAATCTCTTCTTCCTTGACAAAGGCAAGGCGTTCAGGCGCTGGAGCAACGGTGTCCTGCCATAATCACAAATATCAGTCCAGCGTCCGAGCACCAATGAATGAGAAAACGTACAGCAACAGGCTCGAGAGAATGCTCAGTCTCTTTCTTAATCTCCGTTTGAGAATCCAGACTGCCTTGCGAAGAACCCGGGCGAGGTGTAATTGCACGAGAAAGAGGCGCCTCGGACATGGAAACCACTGATTCCGTAAAGGTCGTCGAAGCAGAGAGACTACTCGTCGACGAACCAGGTCGGTTTCCTGCTGGAATAGCCCGGTTCTGGGGCGGGATACTTCGTGGCTTCGGCGGCTTCTCAGGTCGACTGGATTCCTTGGGTTGAACG